ACTGCATTCCAGAGTTTAATTATAGTAGTAATACTATTACTCATACAAATACTAATGCTCATAGTCATTACAGAAATGGCCATCATAAGATTATTGACAGTAATACTACTAGCAGCATGAATAGGATAGAGTCTGAAGCCTTTCCCGAAGCAAAATTCAGCATCTGGACTTTCCTAAGGCCATGCAGTCACCCAAGCCTGCGGGCATGTGCGAAACTGAGCTGAAAGTATCCGTCGACGGTGTCACACAGTGGAACCCTGACATCACGGTGAGTGTTGGGACCAACGGTGACACTGTGCTCCTGGGACTTCTTGGTATTGCCGTTTCCTTAAAGTTACAAACGCCTCCCGGTTGGGTCAACAATAACTTGTTGTGGCAGTGAAATACGTGAGCAGACCTGTGTCGTGTCAGAAAGAGACAGAACAGACTAGAAGCCTCTGTGAAGCAGGATCTCACTCAGCGGCTCCGTGCAGGGGTCCTACGACACGCTCGTTACCGGGCAGGGCAGCTGCAGCTACACGCTCAAACGAGGCTCCTTGGCGACTGTAGGGCAGAAGTTTGGGTTCGAATGAGTGATGACATTGATCCAGGCTTTCCGAAGAAGCCCAAGACGAAGGTGGTGTGCGCCGGCAAGTTTTGAATCTCGACTAGATGGGAAAGCTTGGACACACAAAAGATGCCTTATATAATCAGGATGCAATCTTGGCATTCGTCAGCCTTTTGTGGCTCACAAATGGGTTCCCGACCTCAAAGCAAGCTCCCTCGCGCCTTCAAACCTAGCCCAGCGACTTTGTTTGCTTCGATGCGCCCTAGGCGTCATGATATCGCTGCAGATGGTTGCATCGCTGGTGGGAAAGGGCGTCCTTACCGGAACCATCGATTTGTCGAACGACGTAGATTTCCAAATCTCCGCCAGAGCCACCGTCAAGAAGAACGGCGAGTCCGATGTCACCGTTAACAGCCTCGGCACGAAGCACACGGCCGGGTTCGGAGAAAGAGAGGTTCCCCCTCCCAGCCTCCAGCTTAGCCTCCAAGAATACTATAGTAATGTACTGGTACACCTAAAATCGTATGATACGGTAACAATATTCCCTAGTATCGTCCCTAACCCCGAAACCCCTAAACCCTAAGCCCGAAACCAGTGTAGTAGTATGGCGCGTTCCAGGAAGCCGTCAAGGTCGGGGCGAGCGCCGAGGCCTCGTTGAGATTCAGCGTGGGGCCAGAGCTCGTAGTGCCTCAGCCGCCTCTTTCGGGCCCTACTATAGGGGCCTAGAAATTACGAAGAATATTTTGGGGGTTCCTCATATTATAGTTATAATATAATGGGCATAATGGGCCCCGAAGCCCTAAAGGCCTATGGGCCCCGAAGCCCTAAAGGCCTTTATATTACTGTGCCCATTGAAGCTCTGAAAGTGTGTTGAGCTACGCCCTGCCCAGGGTGTGTGTGCTTGTCCGGAATGAAGTTTTGAGGTGTGGCCCATGCCTGGTATTCCGATTACTTTCGCGCCCAAGTTTCACGCGGAAGCCAAAGCGAAGGGCACCATCAAGTACCCATCAAGCTGCTTGCTTGTCTCTTGAAGTCACAGACCATGCCCAGATGTAACAAATGGTATCTACTATACAATATATAGTCTATAGTTTTTGATTTTTCGTATATAGTATATAATATGTAACATATGACATATAATATATAGTATATACTAACATAGTATACATAATATACAAAATCGCACAGAACTTCGAACCCTAAACCCTAAACCCTCAACCGACGAAGGCTCTCTGCTCCTCGACCAGGAATCGGCCGAGGAGTCTCTTCCTTTTGAGGGCTCAAATGCAAGCTTGGGGCTGCTGGAGGCGGAGGAGCCGCGGGGCTTGAAGCTTTTTACTAGTTTGTACTATATACTATATACGATGTACTATATACTATGTAATGTGTACCATTTAGGATATAAGATATACTCTCTATGTATATATATATATACTATATACCATAAACTGTATGTATGTATATGTATATATGCACATGTATTTAGTGTCCCGTTTTACATTGTCCCGTTATGTGAATATAGTATAACAAATGTATAACATGTAATATATATATATATGTACTATATGCTCTATGTTGTATATTGTATACTAAATGTCATTTATTAGACACTGTCCGCGCTGACTAGAGTTCAGAGGTTTGGGGTTTTGGGGCGGAATTGGCTTTCTGCTCTTCGGCGTACAGTTTAGCGGTTTAGGGATAAGGGTTTAGCTCCTCTCAGTGTATGGTCAAACAGACTGACAGTGGAATGGAATGTGGGGTCTGAAGAACTAGCAACACACCTTCTCATATCTTCTATTTTGTTACAGCATTCTACGCCCTAGAACCTCATTCTGCTTGTAAATGCCCGTGTTTTCAACCCCCCGGTGGCTTGCCCTGCACATTTAGGTCTCGGAGGGACTTCGCACAGTGTCCGTTCAGGGTTTCGAGGACCCTGAACCCAAACCCATGTCATGGTGCATGGTTTGCATCCAAGATCAATTTCTCAATACGTACTCCTCAAAGAAGACACCTGCAACCCTAACCCCAAACCCTAAACCCCAAACCCTAAACCCGTAAATCCTAAACCCCTAACTCCTAAACCCTAAACCCCCCAGACAGAAAGAAATACAAATTGCTTGTCATCGCTTACGTCGAACCCCCTAAACCGTCAATTTCAAACCCACCCCAACGCCCAGCCCAGCCCGCTCACAAAAATGCACACTCGACGAGAGAAGCGACTTTACATATGTTCTTTCATACACAAAAATGACGAAACACGAATCGAACCTCCCGCGCCAACGGCTCATTTCGGCTCTCTGGGTCTACCGTTTTTGAAGGACGACTCGGCTCCTGCGTAGCCCAAGTAATGCCTTGACAGATTGGCTCCTGAAGTACCCCACACAATGCCGTAGCAGATCGGCTCCAGCAGGAGCCATTTTCATGTCAGATGTGGTGGTGTTCCAAGCCCCCAATAAGAAAACAAGTCTGGTTTCAACTCTAGTGTTTACCTAGCAGGTAGCGTTCGACACACCAATAGGAAAAAACAACTCCAAGATGCCAGCTTGAAGAAGCTTTGTGGCTGCGAGCATTTTGAGCCAGCGACGAGGTTTGGGGACACGAGTACGTTGTCATCGCTTGTGGCTGTGAGCAACTTACCAGCGACGAGGTTTGGGGACATGATCACGTTGCCATCGCAAGCAGTGGCTGCTAGCGCCTTGAAGCAGCGACGAGGTTACCAGGTTTCGGGACACGATTACGTTACCATTACAATTGGTGGTTGTTAGCACCTTGAAGCAGCGACGAGGTTTGGAGACACGATTACGTCACCATCGCAAGCTTGTGGCTGTGAGCAAGTTACCAACGACTAGGTTTGGAGACACGATGACGTTAGCATCGCGAGCTTGTGGCTGCGAGCACCTTGAAGCAGCAACGAGGTTTGGGGAGACGATTACATTACCAACGCAAGCTTGTGGCTGTGAGCACCTTGAAGCAGCGATGAGGTTTGGGGACAAGATCACGTTTCCCATCGCAAGTTTGTGGCCGTGCGCAAGTTACCAACGACGAGGTTTGGGGACACGATTACGTTACCATCGCAAGCTTGTGCCTGTTAGCACCTTGAAGCAGCGACGAGGTATTGGGACACGATTACGTTACCATCGCAAGCTTGTGCCTGTTAGCACCTTGAAGCAGCGACGAGGTATTGGGACATGATTACGTTACCATCGCAAACTTGTGGCTGTTAGCACCTTGAAACAGCGACGAGGTTTGGGGACACGATTACGTCACCATCGCAAGCTTGTGGCTGCGAGCAACTTACCAGCGACGAGGTTTGGGGACACGGTTTCGTTACCATTGTAAGCTTGTGGCTGCGAGCAACTTACCAGAGACGAGGTTCGGGGACACGATTACGTACCGTCGCAAGCTTCTGTGATGTTGAATGCACGACTAAAATACCGAAGCCTAAATCGAAAGGGGTTTAGAGTTTAGGGTTTAAGGTTCAAGACGACTCGCGTGGCCCAGCCCAGCCACCACCCCATCCCCAGTGCCCAGCCGCATATCCCTCTCCAACCCAGCTCAAAAATCAAGTTCAAAAAAGGAAACATGTCAAAGCCGCCAGTGCCCAGCTCCCAGCCCCTAGCCCCCAGAAAACATCTGCTTCCGAGAAACACCAGCCCAGCCTCCCGGCCCAGCAACTTCAAAAATGAAACCTGCTCAACACTTTTGCTCAAAACGTTTCGCTCAAAGCATATCGCTCAAACTTATTGGTACCAAAACCCTTAACAATTTCTATAAGCTCTCCCAAACAGCTCTTCTGAGCTTCCAGGAGGGACGCACCGCCAAGCTCCCGCAGTGTCACGCCGCCGCCTGGGGCCCGGCTTGATCCGAGGGATGCGATTGGGTAGTTCTAAAGTAGGGTCCCTTTTGGGGTCCGTTTTCGTAGGGATTGCGGGGTAATTCTAAAGTAGGGTCCGTTTTAGTGTCCTGTTTAGTAGGTTCGATTTTGAGAATCTAGACAGGGACCCTAATTTGGAGAACTCGCCTATTTTGATTAGGTCGTACCACTTTGAGCTGTCCCGTCGGAAGTCGCTACTTAGGCCGTGAGCTTGTATACCGACTTTACCATCACCGGCTTCGCGATCCCGAAGTGGTTGAAAGATCTCTTGAAGGACGGCTTTCTCAAGGACAGGATCAAAGAAGCGATCAACGAAGGCGGCTCTCTGTTCGTGCAGGGGATGCTTAATTAGGATGCGACATGCGACATCGTTCAAGATTCTCACACCGGTACGTGGCTTAGGTGCAAGAGCCATGATCAAGATGATGACCGGGCCACTGCAGTGCATCCCCGGTGCAAGTGCGGTCACCAACAAGATCATGGACGCGGCCCGCGAAGCCGGGAACCTTCTTTCAGGCCTTATCCCTAACCTCGGTCTCAAGTGGGACTTCAAGTCGATCTACATTCTGAAGCCTCAGAAGCTCTTTTGCAAGGAGGTGTGGAAATACCCGAATTCCCCGGATTTCGAGAACACCCCATGCGCGGATCAGCTCGGATGTGGAACCGCCGGCCAGGGGGTGGCAGATGAGTCGGAGGTCGAGGTTGTGCCACCGGAACAGGTTCGCCAACCGACTGTGAACAGACACTAGGTGGCACTTTGGGAAACTTTAACATTTCCCGCATGGCTCATACGGAGGTGCCTGCTCATAATACCTTGAAGGGCCCTCAAACTACAACCCAGGACAGCACGGTACCCCTGGCTGCCCAAACGGTCTGAAAATGGGGGACCGCTTCATTGAGCTTGGCAAGTTCCGCATTGCCGAGCATTACGACCAGTACTTGTCGGTCTCGCACAAGGACCTTGCACCCTACAATCTAAATTCGAAGCCTTGCTTATTACCAACGCTATTTGTTGGGCTTCCTTCATGTACCCAGTATTCAGTTCCATCATACTCGTATGCACCGAAACCCTATGCTAGTTTTTCTGATTCCTTAGGCTGCTATATTACCCTAAACCCTAAGCCATCCTAAACCATAAGCCCAATATTCATCAGGCTGCTATATTGCCCTAAACCCTAAACCATCCTAAACCATAAACCCAATATTCATCAGGCTGCTATATTACCCTAAACCCTAAACCCTAAACCATCCTAAACCATAAACCCAATATTCATCAGGCTGCTATATTACCCTAAACCCTAAACCCTAAACCATCCTAAACCATAAACCCAATATTCATCAGGCTGCTATATTACCCTAAACCCTAAACCATCCTAAACCATAAACCCAATATCCATCAGGCTGCTATATTACCCTAAACCCTAAACCCTAAACCATCCTAAACCATAAACCCAATATTCATCAGGCTGCTATATTACCCTAAACCCTAAACCCTAAACCATCCTAAACCATAAACCCAATATTCATCAGGCTGCTATATTACCCTAAACCCTAAACCCTAAACCATCCTAAACCATAAACCCAATATTAGAGCCTCAGCCCTCAACCGCAGAGAGTCGGGACTGGCCCCTGGGCTTTCAGGACACACGGAAGGTCGCTGTGGTCTGGGAGAAGAAGCTGGGTTCTTGTTTTGGGGGGTTAGTTAAGTTACCATTTATTATAGGGTTTTAGAGCAAATAGTAAAGCATAAAGCATATGGTTCCTTTATCATGGTACCTTTAGTCAGCCCCTTAATAAGAACCCAGGAACGGGAACGCTTGGCGTCGTCACGGCAGCGACTGGCATCGATACGATGCCTGGGGCAGGCAGGGAGCTCAGCCATGTTTCGATTGTTGTTGAACTTCAAAAGGGACCTGAACTGCGTGGCTAAGGTCGAATGGGCTTGGCAAAAAGATCAAGTTCGGCTTCGAGTTTATCCAAATTGGCAAGTTCCGCCTCGGGGCTGTGGATGACAGACACCTCTCGATCTCGTGCCGGGCTGATTCGGAGCTAGAGCTCTTGAGTTTAAAGTTTTGGGTCTAGGCTAGGGTTTAGGGTCTAGGGTTTATAGGGTTAGGGGTCAGGGGTTGCAGCTTACGGGCTTGGCAAATACCTTAAACCCCCAAACCTTAAATTGAATTGCCGTGGAATGCTTAACTTGCCACAGGCTAGGGCGAGGCAAATCGGTGGTCAAATATCAGGCAATGGTGGGAGCAGGATTGCTTAAACAGGGGGGAAAGGTAGAAGCAGGATTGCTTTAACATGGGTAACAGAAAGTACATAAAGGGAAGAGTTCAGGAAAAGCTCGGCTTAACATTGTAAACTGAAAGCATTGCTATCTGATGGTTGCCAACTCCCGCACCAAGTCAACCGACCAAGAGACTATCTTTTCGAAAGCTTGCTGGCGATTCTCGGAACCTTATCGGAACCTCCTCGGACTTTCCCAGAACCTCCCCGGAACCTCCTCGGAACCTCCTCGGAACCTCCGGTTCCTGGGAGCTTCCGCCTCCTCGTGTGCCCGTTTTGTCGCACTTTGTGCACCTCGCGCTGTCGCGGTGTCAGTTGCTTCTGGGTGGCTTTCTTTCTTTTTCTTCTATTTGTGTGTGTTTGTGTGAGCGGGTGTCATATGCGTATGTGCATGTACGTGCTCACGAGCGCGAGTCTGCATCTCTGTCTTTCTCTCTTTCTCTTTCTCGTGACTCACTGACTCACTCACTCACTCACTCACTCGCTCGCTCACTCACTCACTCACTCACTCAATCACTCTCTCTCTCTCTCTCTCTCTGTCTGTCTCTCTCTCTCTCTCTCCCTCTCTCGCTCTCTGTCTCACACTCACAGTCACATTCACACTCGCACTCGCACTCACACTCACACTCGCAATCACACTCACACTCGCAATCACACTCACACTCACAGTCACACTCCTGCCAATCGCAGCCGTAATGTTGACGTGGCGATTAGGATGATGATGAAGAGGAATATGCTGATCGTAAAGATCAGGATGGCAGTAGCGCTAAAGAAGAACGGCAGTGAAGCCAATTTTGAGGGCAACGAGTATCACGGTTTGTCACGAGTCTCGGCTAAGGCACACACAAGACAGGAGGACCGCGATGATCTTGCGAGACGATGGGCATCAAACATGGGGATCCCGCACTGCCGCCCGGCTTGGTGTGAGCAATACGGCAAGGAGACTTTTTTTGGGTATGTTTGAGGTCAGACAAGATTCCCAGCACGTGGTTATTCCAGCCAGGGGTTGCCCTTAGCGACCAGGACTGGAACACCCTGGACCGCTCTGAGGGAGCTCCCGTGGGCATCACTTTCGGAGACGGGCTTCCTGGCCCGGTTTAGGGATGTTAGGGATTCGAGATCGCGAAGCTGTCACCTTGTGCTGCAAACGGTAGTCCCATGATCAAGAGTATGATACTGCTCGTAGTGAGGAATGCATCTGACTCGATGTCTTCTTGATAATTTCTGCATGTCGTGCCTCCACTTTGCAGATCAATCTACACTTGACTATGCTAACATGCGCATCTATGAACGTTTGCCTGTTTGTGTGTGTGTGTGAGTCCGTATCGCCGCCTTTCTGTCTTTCTAGACCAGTCGTAAGCATGCACATATGCATGCTGGCATACACACAGGTTTTGCACCGCGAGGTGCGCACTAAGGGGCCTAAATTATTATACCAATACTACTTGGGGTTCCTTATTATCGTTATTCTTCTAAGTATTGAGGCCCCTACATTGCATGTGTCGTGCTGTCGCTTTCTTGGGCCACGTGGAGCTCCAAGTCCAAGAAAAAACTGGTCTTTGGAAAATCAGAACAGCGTTTCGGGGTATATTATCTTAAAAGGTCTTACTTCGGGATCCTCAATAATCAGAACAGTGTTTGGGGGAACATCATGTTATATGATGTTTGGGACTAGAAGTGATACTGTTACCAATTATTCCGACCCTGAAATATTCGTTCCCCGTTGCTTGCCGTTCTTTGCACTGAGGTGGATCCAGATCGGCAAGTTCCGAATTGGAGATTCGGGCGGCAATGACTTGGCCATCATGCACACACGCGACAAGAATAGAGCCATTGAAGTTTACACGCCCCTGGGCAATTCTAGACAGCCATGTTTGTTTTACAACTTTAGGTTTCCGAGCCCTTCTTTGTTTTATCCTGTGCGGGTCATGAGGCGGGATGGCAACTACAAAACGGGCAACGCTCTCAATGGGAACTGGGGCAACTTGTATGGTCGACATCCGGCCCATTGGACCTGCCCGAGCATTGGAGACATCGCGCATGGTAAATGTGCGCTGGTCATGTTTAGATGTAGCTTGGAAGCTGCCCCCACCCTGTAATAGTGGTATAGTAGGAATATAATAGGGCCCTAATATAATTCTATATAACCCTTATAGTCACTATAACAGGGTGGGGGCCCCTTCTAAGATGTAGCCTTGTATCTCCAGGAAGCAGCGCTGTCCAGACTGCCAAGTGCTCCCCAGAGCATAATTAAGGAATATACCTTAAATCATATGAAAAAAGTGATCCTACCATAATTTTAACGCTACGCCGCCCGCCTCGGCTGTGTAGCGGCAGGGCGAGGGGGCAGTCGATGTTTTTTTATGCTAGGGCGGCCTGTCAAACCCCAACCTTTACACGGTTGTTGATACGAAGTGCGAGGAGAATGGGTAGGGGAGGGGGGGGGGGGGGGGGGGGGGGGGGGGGGGGGGGGGGGGGGGGGGGGGGGGGAGGGGGGGGGGGGGGGGGGGGGGGGGGGGGGGGGGGGGGGGGAGGCCGACAAATCAGGTAAAATGAGGGGAAGCCGGGCAAGGGGGTGGCAAACGAACGCAAAAAACGGGTGTCCGGCAGGGAGGAGGATTAGGTGGAGGGTACCTGAGCTAACCCCCAAGACGCCTGGGCCTGTGGCCTCGGCGGATTTAAGGCATATTCCTCAATTAAGGGATATTGGGTCATTCCTGCATTGGCAGGCAGGGAGGACTTCGGAGGGTGGGGAGATCGCTTTGTACAGCTCGGAGACTGGCGCTTGGCTGCCATCGATGATCGCAACTTCGCCTTCGCCCACAAGAACGGCAAGAACGTCGAGGTCTGCGGACAGGGCGAGCTGCAAGATGTGTTGTGCACCACAAATTCACATCGTATATAAGTATATGTAAATAAAAGTAATATATATATATATATATATGTATATATGTATGTATGTATGTATCTATGTATGCACGGATGTACGTATACACACGTTCCTATGAAGGCGTAGCTGCATAGAGAAGCACATGTATCTAAGTATATGCATACGCAAGTGTCGATTGACAGACATCTGCATGCATGTATGGATGAGTTGCTGCATGCTTTGGTGTAGAACCACATCAGCGGACGCATGCCGACAGAATATCACGCGGACATGGATCTTGCTTCGAATCCCTCCGTCTCTCTCTTGCTCTCGATATATATGTATATATGCATATTTAGATGGGAAGACTGCATCTTCACCACGCACACAAATGTATGGTACACATGTGCCTACATTCACCCATGTGTGTTTGCGCAGATCTGTCGTTCTGTACTAGCGTAGGAGCTTGCATAGACGGCCAAGTTCTTAGGGTTAATGTAGGGCCCTTCAAATGAATACTTGGAGGTTCATGGGTAGTTATAAGTGGCGTTATAGGCAGGGTAACTATATGTATAGCCCATATATTAGGAGACAACTACCCATGAACCTCCAAGTATGGTTCCTTTAAGGGTTCCCACGAGGATTCTACACCCTAAACTAAAGCCTAAACCCTAAACCCTACACGGGTTGGTATACACAGCAGCATCTTTGCTGCCCCGAGATCTTCAAGAGCGACGGCCGCCGCGTGTCGGGACGGAACAGTGACCGTGTCTGGCGAAGGCTGGGGGAGTACATGTGAAGAGAGACAGAGAGAGAGAGAGAGAGAGAGAGAGAGAAAGATATATATATATATATATATATGTATATATATATACTTATACATATATATATATATATATATAGACGTATGTACACATACATATGTATGCAAACCCCCCGTATCGACCCGCACTTCGCTAACATCTGGTGTATATAGCATTTTTTTTGCTTGTCCGTGGGCGTTATGTGTGCGTGCATCAGCAGGTGTCCGTGGGCATTACAACATGGTGCTGTTTCACATTCATGAAGGCGCATAGCATTGTATTCTGCTACAGCTACCTTGTGTCATTCTGCCATAGCCCAAACCATGATGTATTGGGACACGGGATAGGATAACTTGGGAAATATTCATGCAAGTTTAAGGCGATATATGCGTTTGACACACACACACACACATGAAGTTGTGTTTCTATGCTTGCATTATGGAAGGCTCCCTTGTACTCTTGAGGCGTTTCTTGGTCCTTGCCACAGCAGCGTAACTGGGCTTCGATTCGTTTTAGTGCCCCGATGGACACTGCAGAACGTTCTCAGGAGCATGTGTATTTCTGCAGCCTGCACTGTCACGCATGCCATCCGGTACTGGTCCTGTGTGTGCGTGCGTGTGCGTGTATGTGTGTGATATGTTTGATCGTGCCAGGAACAGCATAAAGGCTCCACTACAAGTACACGCACGCACATTCATACATGCATACATGCATACATGCATACATACATACATACATACATACACAGCTACCCATAGATAGAAACAGCCGGAAAGTATCACCACCTGTTGCCGTATGGAGCTAGTTTGGCAGAAACTACTTGCGTGCAGTGCCTCCTTTGTTCAATGATGATGCCTGGGCCCTGACCGCAGATCCTAAATGCACGCCTCTCGGCTTTCCCTAAAACCCAAACCCCAAACCCTAAACCCTTAAACCGAAACCCCACGCCGTAAACCCTAAGCCCTCAACCTCTAAACCCCAAACCTCCTGGCCCTAGTATAGATCCCTTTCAGACCTCTTTAAAGGAAGCCTAGTATAGATCCCTTAAAGATCCGTTGAAAGGAGCCCTATTTGTTATAGATCGACCCCTTTAACGGGACCCTATTATAGAACTTTATTATAGATCCCTTGCAGACCTCTTTGAAAGAACCCTCTTATGGATCCCTCATAGATCCCTTTAAAGGAAGCCTGTTATAGATCCCTCAAAGACCCATTTAAAGGGACCCTGTCAGAGGCCCCTCGGCTTTCCCCACGGCATCACCTTCGGAACAAGCTTCATCCAGATCGGCAGCTTCCGCTTAGCAGCGCTGGACAACGACCACTTCTCAATCTCTCACCAGAATCTCGGTCCGACCTCAAAGGTTGAGGGTTTGGGGGTTCAGGGTTTAGGGTTAAGGGGTCTTCAGAGGTTAGGGTCTACTGCAGGACGAACGTTGATCAAAATGGACATCGCCACGCTGGTCAAACAATGCAGATCTGGCGAAGCAACAGTGTCTCGGTGGCATTTTGCTAAACTTAAACTTAAGATTTCCGCCGTGGTTCCTAAAGAGGAACCTAGTCATTAATACTTTTCAGGGCCCCAAAACTACCACCCAGGCCATAAACCCTAAACCTTAAACCTTAAACCCCTAAACCCAAAACTGCCACCCAGGTGTGCACGACAAGAGCACTCACCCGGGCCCCAGGACCGACTGGAATGCCTGGCATGGCCACCACGCCCGCACCGCTGGCCCTGCAGGTGTCGGGCACCGAGCTTTGAAAGAAGCGTTTTGGGTTTAGGTTCAGGGTATCGTATATACATAAATATACCCGCAACAGAATGAGATAGATCAAAATGTCCGAAGGTGCTTGTGAGCAGAAATGTAGGCATTTTGATGGTTTCCCAGGTACGGGGATAGGTATTTGCAGATTGGCAACTTCCGGATTGGAGTCCCAGACGATGCAGACCACTGGTTGTACATAACCCGCACCGACGACGGCGATGGCAGAGTCATTCAGGTCGCTGGGTTCCGGTTTTGCAGCGACCTTTCCGGTTTATCATTTGCATGTTTTCCCTCTTGGTATTGGTAAAGCAGGGGTTCCACAAAAAGGGAAGCTCTAAGACCTAGATGCAAGCTGTGTCCAGGGCTGGCATAAAGACGGCACTGTGAATTCCCCTGGTCAGCGCCGACGCCAGTTTTCACCGACAGCCGTCCTGAACCGTCGGAATATTCAGTGGCACTGCGGCAACATCCAGAAGCTCAGCTTTTAGAATGTAGGGGCCTGACTAATTAGAGCAGGGTTTTGGGGTATATTATGAATACAATAATTACTATAATTACTACAATTACTATAATTTCTGTTTTTCTTACTATAATTACTATAATTACTATAATTACAACAAGGAACCTCCCAGGGTGGCCCGTTCTGAATTCTGAATTAAGGCCCCTACATGCGGGCTCGGGTGAGGGGTTTATGGTTTGCCTTGAACACTCCCGGACTGATGCTAAATCCTGCATTGTCGCCTTGAAGCCTCAAACCCGAAGCTGTTGAAGACCCAGCTTTAAAATCTAAACTCTAAACTCTAAACCCTAAAATTTAAACCTAAACTCTAAACTCTAAACCCTAAAATTTAAACCTAAACTCTAAACTCTAAACCCTAAAATTTAAACCCTAGACCCTAAACCCTAAAACCCTAAACCCTAAGCCCCCACTTAAAACCCTCAGACCCCCAAATCCTCGCCAAGGGCGAAGCTGGGCTCTTGCAGTGGGATCACCGCAGGAGAAGTTTCCCAAAGATCCAGCCTGAGCGGTAGGTTTAATGTGTAGGGTTTAGGGGTTTAGGGTTTCGGGTTGAGAAGGTTCGTTGCTGTTGCGCTTAGGGTGGAGGGCTTTCGGTGGTGTTAAGGCACATGGCCCTGCATGTTTTGGGGTTGGTGTTCAAGGTTCAGGATTTTCTTCCGGGACCCTACACTAAACCCCTAAACCCTAAACCCTATAAACCCTAAACCCTAAACCTCTCTTTCACATATATATATATATATATATATATATATATGAGAGAGGCGCCTCTAGGGTCTATTTTACGCTCTATTCTTTTCCTTATAATTAATATTATTTGAAATAATTGAAATAATTGAAATCAGCAGAGTTGATTTCAATTATTTCAATTATTTACATCCGCCAATGGGCCCAAATAATTGAAATAATTGAAATAATTGAAATCGATGGCTGTTCTGGGCCAAGCCACGAATCTCAGGGATTTCAATAATTGAAATAATTGAAATGGGGGGATTTCAAGTATTTCAATTATTTAAATCCGCCAAAGGCCCCAAATAATTGAAATAATTGAAATAATTGAAATCCCCCCCATCTCAATTATTTCAATTATTTCAATTATTTCAATTATTGAAACCCCTGGATTTGGTGGCTTGGGCCCACCGAACCTTCGGATTTCAATTATTTCAATTATTTAGATCCGCCAAAGGGCCCAAATAATTGAAATAATTGAAATCGATGGCTGTTCTGGGCCAAGCCACGAATCCCAAGGATTTCAATAATTGAAATAATTGAAATAATTGAAATAATTGAAATGGGGGATTTCAATTATTTCAATTATTTAAATCCGACAAAGGCCCCAAATAATTGAAATAATTGAAATAATTGAAATCAGCCCCATTTCAATTATTTCAATTATTTCAATTATTCAAATCACTGGATTTGGTGGCTTGGGCCCACCGAACCTTCGGATTTCAATTATTTCAATTATTTAAATCCGCCAAAGGGCCCAAATAATTGAAATAATTGAAATAATTGAAATCGATGGCTATTCTGGGCCAAGCCAGGAATTGAAATAATTGAAATAATTGAAATAATTGAAATGGGGGGATTTCAATTATTTAAATCCGACAAAGGCCCCAAATAATTGAAATACTTGAAATCAGCCCCATTTCAATTATTTCAATTATTTCAATTATTGAAATCCCTGGATTTGGTAGCTTGGGCCCACCGAACCTTCGGATTTCAATTATTTCAATTATTTAAACCCGCCAAAGGCCCCAAATAATTGAATTAATTGAAATCAGCCCCATGTCAATTATTTCAATTATTTCAATTATTTCAATTATTTCAATTATTGAAATCCCTGGATTTGGTGGCTTGGGCCCACCGAACCTTCGGATTTCAATTATTTCAATTATTTAGATCCGCCAAAGGGCCCAAATAATTGAAATAATTGAAATCGATGGCTGTTCTGGGCCAAGCCACGAATCCCAAGGATTTCAATAATTGAAATAATTGAAATAATTGAAATAATTGAAATGGGGGATTTCAATTATTTCAATTATTTAAATCCGACAAAGGCCCCAAATAATTGAAATAATTGAAATAATTGAAATCAGCCCCATTTCAATTATTTCAATTATTTCAATTATTCAAATCACTGGATTTGGTGGCTTGGGCCCACCGAACCTTCGGATTTCAATTATTTCAATTATTTAAGTCCGCCAGAGGGCCCAAATAATTGAAATCAGCTCATTTCAAATATTTCAAATATTTCAATTATTTCAATTATTTAAATAATTGAAATCCATGGATTTGGTGGCTTGGGCCCACCGAACCTTCGGATTTCAATTATTTCAATTATTTAAATCCACCAAAGGGCCCAAATAATTGAAATAATTGAAATAATTGAAATCGATGGCTGTTCTGGGCCAAGCCACGAATCCCAGGGATTTCAATAATGGAAATAATTGAAATAATTGAAATAATTGAAATAATTGAAGTAATTGAAATAATTGAAATGGGGGGATTTCAAGTATTTCAATTATTTAAATCCGCCAAAGGCCCCAAATAATTGAAATAATTGAAATAATTGAAATCCCCCCCATCTCAATTATTTCAATTATTTCAATTATTTCAATTATTGAAATCCCTGGATTTGGTGGCTTGGGCCCACCGAACCTTCGGATTTCAATTATTTCAATTATTTAAGTCCGCCAGAGGGCCCAAATAATTGAAATACTTGAAATAATTGAAATCAGTCCCATTTCAATTGATTCAATTATTTCAATTATTTAAATAATTGAAATCCTGGGGTTCTGTGGATGAGGCTCATGGATCACCTCCCTCCCCCCCCCATCCCTTCCTCCCCCCCCGCCCGTTACCCCTCCCCCCCGCACTGCCCCTAATCCCTGCCCCACCACCTGACCCCAATCCAGCCCCCTATTCCCCGGACCCCTTCCCCTCCCATCACCCCCTCCATCTCCTCACGCATATCCTCTCCCCTATCCAGCCCCGTTGTCCCTTGCCCTCTGCCCCCTGCCCCCTGCCCCGTGCCACCACCCCAACCACGCCCCCATCCCACCCACCACGAAAATTTGGTGCTATCGAACCGCTGTGTTTTCCAAGGCGCGGTTCGATAGCACCAAATTTTCTGAAAGGAGCCGCTTCCGAAAATTTGGTGCTATCGAACCGCTGTGTTTTACAAAAGACGCGGTTCGATAGCACCAAATTTTCGGAAGCGGCTCCTTTCCGAAAATTTGGTGCTATCGAACCGGTGTGTTTTACAAGGCGCGGTTCGATAGCACCAAATTTTCTGAAAGGAGCCCCTTCCCAAAAATTGGTGCTATCGAACCGCTGTGTTTTACAAGGCGCGGTTCGATAGCACCAAATTGTCTGAAAGGAACGGTTCGATAGCACCTTCCGATTTGGTGCTATCGAATTTGTTCGATAGCACCAAATTTTATCGAAAATTTGGTGCTATCGAACCTGTGTTTTACAAGGCGCGGCTCGATAGCACCAAATTTTCGGAAGCGGCTCCTTTCCGAAAATTTGGTGCTATCGAACCGCTGTGTTTTACAAGGCGCGGTTCGATAGCACCAAATTTTCTGAAAGGAGCCGCTTCCGAAAATTTGGTGCTATCGAACCGCTGTGTTTTCCAAGGCGCGGTTCGATAGCACCAAATTGTCTGAAAGGAGCCCCTTCCGAAAATTTGGTGCTATCGAACCGCTGTGTTTTCCCACCCATCCCCACTACCCCCACACCACCAACCCCCATCCATTCATACCACTCCCGCCACTTCCCAACCCCCCGCCCCCTATCACCTGATCCCAAATCAACCCCCCCCCCCATCCCTCCACTCAACTCCCTCCCCTCTCACCCTTCCATTCCCTCCCATATCCATTCCACCCTGCTGACCTCTAATTCAGCACCCCCTTCCCCCCCCTGAACCCTCCCCCAGATTCCACCTCCACCTCACCATCGCCTCCTACCCCACCACCCACCACCAGGCACCCTCCCCCCGCCACGCCCACCACCCACACCCCCCCACCAACCACCACACACCACACACCACCAACCACACACCACCCACCACCCATCACTACCCAGCACCCACCAGTTACCACTACTCACTACTCACCTTCTTTATCACCTTTTTTTATAATTTATCACCTTTTCATTATCCTTATCACCTTTTCATTATCATTATCACCTTTTTTATCACCTTTATCACCTTTTATCACCTTTCTTATCACCTTTAGGGTTTAGGGCCTAGGGTTTGGGCTCTAGGGTTTAGGGTTTAGGGACACATTTCAGGCCGGAAATGTGTCATCTTTTCCGCCTTACAGAAAGAAGCATGACACATTTCAGGCCGGAAATGTGTCATCTTTTCCGCCTTACAGAAAGAAGCATGACACATTTCAGGCCGGAAATGTGTCATCGTTTCCGCCTTACAGAAAGAAGCATGACACATTTCAGGCCGGAAATGTGTCATCGTTTCCGCCTTACAGAAAGAAGCATGACACATTTCAGGCCGGAAATGTGTCATCTTTTCCGCCTTACAGAAAGAAGCATGACACATTTCAGGCCGGAAATGTGTCATCGTTTCCGCCTTACAGAAAGAAGCATGACACATTTCAGGCCGGAAATGTGTCATCTTTTCGGCCTTACAGAAAGAAGCATGACACATTTCAGGCCGGAAATGTGTCATCGTTTCCGCCTTACAGAAAGAAGCATGACACATTTCAGGCCGGAAATGTGTCATCTTTTCCGCCTTACAGAAGGAAGCATGACACATTTCAGGCCGGAAATGTGTCATCGTTTCCGCCTTACAGAAAGAAGCATGACACATTTCAGGCCGGAAATGTGTCATCTTTTCCGCCTTACAGAAAGAAGCATGACACATTTCAGGCCATGTGGCCGGAAATGTGTCATCGTTTCCGCCTTACAGAAAGCAGCATGACACATTTCAGGCCGGAAATGTGTCATCTTTTCCGCCTTACAGAAGGAAGCATGATACATTTCAGGCCGGAAATGTGTCATCGTTTCCGCCTTACAGAAAGAAGCATGACACATTTCAGGCCGGAAATGTGTCATCGTTTCCGCCTTACAGAAGGAAGCATGACACATTTCAGGCCGGAAATGTGTCATCTTTTCCGCCTTACATAAGGAAGCATGACACATTTCAGGCCGGAAATTTGTCATCGTTTCCGCCTTACAGAAAGAAGCATGACACATTTCAGGCCGGAAATGTGTCATCGTTTCCGCCTTACAGAAAGCAGCATGACACATTTCAGGCCGGAAATGTGTCATCTTTTCCGCCTTACAGAAGGAAGCATGACACATTTCAGGCCTCCCCCTGTTCCCTTGCCCCCTCTCCTACCATCCCTGCCTTCCCCACCTCCTCACCTTTCCCTCCCCTTTGCCATTTGCCCCCTGCCCCCTGCCATCTCCATCATATCCATCACCCCCATCATCTTCTTCATCTCCATCATCTTCATCATCTCCATCATCTCCATCATCTTCATCATCTCCATCATCTCCATCATCTTCATCATCTCATCATCATCTTCATCATCATCATCCATCATCTTCATCATCTTCATCATCTCCATTATCTTCATCATCTTCATCATCTGCATCATCTTCATCATCTTCATCATCTTCGTTGCCGGTTTCATTGGTTTTAATACCGCTCCCTCTATTCTTAAAGGTAATTTCATAGGTATTGTACGAACCATAATACAATCGATTTATCTTAACTACTATATCAAGAATAGCTTACCACATCGCATCTACATACTTTGTAACCGGGCTTACTATAAAGGCCCCACATGAGGGATCCATAATGGGTTTCTAGAAAGTCTCTCTATAAGGGATCTATAGTTTTTTATATAATGGATTTATATAAGGTCTCTACATAGAGGATCTATAAGATTTCTATAAGCAATCTGTAAAGGTTTTCCAGAAGGGCTCCATACGAGGGATCTATACAGGGCTTCCATGTGGTTTCTACAAAGGGTAAGGAATATATAGCAGTTGTCTATGAAAGCTCCATGTAAGGGATCTTGTAAAGTTTTCTACAAAGAACTCCATTTGTTGATCTATACGGGGTTTCTATAAGTTCTCTATATAGGGGATCTATAAAGTTTCTATACGAATCTATAAAGGCTGTCTATGAGGGCTCCATACAAGGGATCTGTGAAGGGATCTATAGGGATTCTTCATGGGAATGTATACCTTCGATGCGGATAATTGCGCCTTTGTTAAGATCGTGAAGACTATTAACTAGTGATATCCTTCTTGGCTAATGCTGTGATCACATCAGATCTGATATGTATAGAGATACATTGGAATGCACGTGGGAAAACAAACTGACACATTACAGGCCTTCTAATGTGTCATTATTCCTATTGAAACCTTAAAGGCAAGGAACTTATACACTGTAGGGCATCTGTATATTGGAAGGCCTCTGGGTAGTATAAATTGACGCATTACAGGCCCTCTAATGTGTCACTCCACTCCCTCCTATGGAACCTCTATTGCAATGGAACTTTTCCACTGGAAAACCGCTGGACATAATAAACTGACACACTGCAGGCCCTATAATGTGTCGCTCCACCTATCCTATTGAAATCCTACTGATAAGAAATTGATACATCGGAAAGCACTTTTTATGGACATAACAAACTGGCACATTAAACCCACTATAATGTGTATCTTCACTTCCTGGGTCCTGGACTGGGCAAATTGACATATTACATGCCCTCTAATGTGTCACTCCATTTCTCCTACTGAAACCCTACTAACAAGGAACTTATACACTGTCAGGCCCCTGTGCCTGGGCATATCAAATTGACATATTACAGGCACCCTAATGTGTCACTCCACCCACTCCGATTGACCCTCTACTGACAAGGAACTTATACATTGGAAAGTCCAGGACATAACAGATTGGCACAATACATGCCTTGTAAAGTGTTACATCATGTGATATGGATGTGTCATGCCGTATGTATTCCCATAATTTGTCATATAAACACATCCGATTCATGAGTACCGAACCTGTCAGGTTTTGCATTCTGGCCTGTGCGGAAATTACAAACAAATTTATGCCATATTACAGCGTGCATGCTTATTACGTGATTCTTGGATGGATATGTCGTATGCAATTACTCAAGCGCTGGCAAGTCAACAATAAGTCGAATTGTGAAATATTTGGACAGGACAATTTGTCCATGTTGCCGATATACTGCTGACAGTGCTATGCATATCTTCACGACGATACATCATTCCTGCAAGATGTATGGACGCTATACACTGAAATGTGTCATCACAACGAATGTTTATTCATCGACAGTGTTGGGATCAACACTCGATGTTCTGTTTATATAATACTCGTCTCCCTGAATGCGAGTAATTTGCTATAATTACTTGATAGAAAAATATAGCCTAGTCGATCCGAAACTTTTCAGGTCGTGGCTTTGTAATGTGGGCTGTGCTTATACCTTACATTTTGCTTTCCATTATGTGCTGAAGACAACAAACCGCGGTTATATAGACCCTAAAGGTATCGGGCACATATATATATATATATGTATATATATATATATATTTAAACAATAAACCCCTTCGTGGTTTTAGGTCAAGTATTCGTGGTTTTAGGTCAAGTATTCGTGGATTTAGGTCAAGTATTCGTGGTTTTAGGTCAAGTATTCGTGGTTTAAGGTCAAGCTGGTATTTTCGGTCATTTTGACTTTAAACCACGAATACTTGACCTAAAACCACGAATACTTGACCTAAAACCACGAATACTTGACCTAAAACCACGAATACTCGACCTTGGTCCGCGAACACCCTTCGTGGCTTTAGGTCAAGTATTCGTGGTTTTAGGTCAAGTATTCGTGGTTTTAGGTCAAGTATTCGTGGTTTTAGGTCAAGTATTCGTGGTTTTAGGTCAAGTATCGTGGTTTTAGGTCAAGTATTCGTGGTCTTAGGTCAAGTATTCGAGGGTTTGGGCTTTAGGGTTTAGGGCCTAGGGTTTGGGCTTTAGGGCTTAGGGCCTTGGGGTTTGGGCTTTACGGTTTAGGGCCTAGGGTTTGGGCTTTAGGGTTTAGGACTTAGGGTTTGGGCTTTAGGGTTTAGGGCCTAGGGTTTGGTTCAGGGTTTAGGGCCTAGGGTTTGGGCTTTAGGGTTTAGGGCCTAGGGTTTGGGCTTTAGTAGGGTTTGGGCTTTAGGGTTTAGGACCAAAGTCTTGGGCTTTAGGGTTTAAACTTTAAGGCCTAGCTAAGCTGTCCTGTTCTTTACTGCAAAATGCACAACAAAGGACATTAACAAAATGGGGCTAGAAAGCTAAGCTGTCTTGGCCTTTACTGTAAAATGGACAACAAAGGACACTAACAAAATGGGGCTATCATTTTCTTAGAAGGCTAAGCTGTCCTGGTCTTTGCTACAAAATGGACGACAAAGGACATTAACAAAATGGGGCTATTATTTTCTTAGACAGCTATTTAACGCACCAATAAGCGAAACAATTCCTACAAGAGGTTTTCTTCTTAACGCCCCAACAAGCGAAACAGTTCTGCAAGAGATCTCCATTCCGAACGCCCCAATAAGCGAAACAATTCTGTAAGAGGTATTCCTTCCTAACGCCCCAATAAGCGAAACAATTCTGCAAGAGATTTCCATTCCGAACGCCCCCAATAAGACAGTTCCACAAGAGGTTTGCCTTCCAAACACCCCAATAAGCGAAACAATTCTGCAAGAGATTTCCATTCCGAACGCCCCAATAAGCGAAACAATTCTGCAAGAGGTTTTCTCTTTAACGCCCCAATAAGCGAAACAATTCTACAAGAGGTTTTCCTTCCTAACGCCGCAATAAGCGCAACAATAGGTTAACAAATCCATTCATAAGTGCAGGTGCAACAACGCAAACATCGGTTAACAAATCCAATCTCAAGTAAGGACCACCAGCAATCGGTTAACAAATCCATTCCTAAGTGTAGTTGCAACATCGCAAACATTGACTGCGAAATCGACAACAAAAGACATTAACAAAATGGGGCTGTAATTTTCTTACAAAGCTAAGCGATCCTGGCCTTTATTGCAAATTGCACAACAAAGGACATTAACAAAATGGGGCTACTATTTTCCTAGAAGAAGTCGTTGGCAAAGCTAATTTTCTGGAAGCGTATGTGTGGAATTCGTGGGCAGGTGCGGCGAAGCCATTCAGGTTGGGGCACCCTGATAACCACTACAATGAACCTTGTACTATGATACCATGCCTTTAAGCACCCACCACATCCATAAATTAGCCCTTGCTTATTATGGAAGTGGTGGGTGCTTAAGCAAGGGCTAAATAATGAAGAAACTTGTATATCCTAGTGTTATGGGATTCTTTGGGTCGCATTAGGGTTTTGCGGGTTTGAGCTTTAGATATTAGGGTTTGAGACAACGCAAAACGAAAAATATTAAACAACAATTTATTTGGGCTTTTGCTTTTTTTTTTTTAGAAATTGAACCTCCCTACTAATTTTTTGAATGTTTATGTTGATGCTGTTAATGTTGTATAACGTTCGGCCATAATAGTTTTAAGCTGTGAATGAATTGAGACTTTGTATGCTCTTAATGTTATGGGATTCTAAGGGTGGGTGGGTTTTATTTCTACACCGTAAGCACAACCCTACTTTAAAACTGCTCGACCCGGAGCTGCTGAACCCTAAACCCTAAACCCTAAACCCAACCCTAAACCCTATGCAGGTCCCGGCTTCATCCAGCTCGGGGACTGGCGTCTGGCTGCTGTTAGCTATGAGTACTTCTCCATCTCGCACCGGTCCAGAAATACGGCCATGAGCCTCGGGTTGAGAATTGTTGGGATCTTTGGGTTTCGGATTGCGGGTTGATCGTGGGGCCTGTTTCGGCTGCAGTGCTAGGCCGTGACTTTTTGGGACAATTTTGGAGTTACCTGTGGTGAAAGGGACATGAGCTCATTGCTTGAGTTGCACATGAGTTGCCTCGGAGGAGATTCAAGCGCGATGGGACGTATTCGGCATCACCTGGCCAAGAGCATAATGGTTGGGACGATCGCGAGTCCAGGTATGTGCCTGAGGGGGACTTGCAGGAGGTGAAGATCGGAGATCGTTTCATCGAGTTCGGCAAGTTCTGGCGGCTGGGGGAACAGAGCGAAGACAAGCTCTCGATCTCTCATTCAAGTGGAAAAACTGCCATGGTCTACCAAAAGAACGGCCATTTGCTAGGCGGGCCTCGCACTGATAACAACCTCTTCAACCGTCTCTCGACCACTGAGCCCAAGGGGGTTACTTTCGGTGATCGCTTCGTGCAAATCGGCCACTTCCGAATTGGGGACGTGGACGGGTGGCACTTCTCCATCTCGCATGTGAACAGCGGCATGACCCAAGAGATTTACACAGGAGATGACATGTTGCGAATCTGTAAGGGGAACTCCAGAAAGTTGGAATATGGATTAATGATAGGATCCCCTATAATTTACCTTAAAGGGGTTATGATAATGATATTCCAACTTTCTGGCTTCTACTGTAAATCATCCTAATCACGTAGAGCCCGAGCCCTAGAGCAGCCGCAGGAAACGGGCATCGCCACATGAGCAACGGGCATCGGAGAGATTGGCAGACAACGGGTCGCCCGTTGCAAGATTGCAAGATCTTTCCGGAAAAGCCTCATCTCTTCAGCTTCGATACCTTGTATGCCTTCTACAACCCGACACACAAGCGTTACCTGCAGCTGCATCCTGGCGGCATTGAAACTGACCTGCCTGACCATAGTCTCGAAGCACTAGGGGAAGCTTGTTCGGCAGCCTGCCACACTGGGGAGGTTCATGGGCAGGTATAAGTGGGGATATAAGTAGGGTAACGATATTTATGACCCACATTAGGGGACTTATACCTCCACTTATAACTACCCATGAACCTCCAAGTAGACCCTAAACCCTATACCCTTTTAGAATCCCTTATAGAATCCCTTTAAAGGGACCCTTAAAGGAGCCCCTTACAACAAGGAATAATGCGGCAGACATGGCCTCGGTACATGTGGAGAGTGGGCCCAGTGACTTGCCGTACTGGCGCGCCTTCGAGCGCTTCTCGGTCGTGGACGCCGGCAACGGCCTCGTCTCGCTGCACAATGCCAAGAATAACAGGTTCGTGAAGCTGGAAGCTGGGTTCTTGCTAAGGAAATTAATTTTTAGGACAACGCAACCATACTATTCACTACAGTTCTCCGCAGGTTCATGAAGATGAGCCAGAGTCAGATGATGGCGTCTCCTATCAAGGCTGCGAATCGGCTCCCCGCCAGCGGCTGGAACAGCGAGTACTTTCAAATCGTCGATGCTGGCGATGGGATGGTGGGACTCCACAACCCGGCCCACAACCGCTTCGTGCAAATGACCAACCACGGCCATGTTCAAGCCACAGGTCACAGGAATGCCCGGGACTTGAAACATAACAAGGGTTGCTAGGTGTCACTTTGGGAAACTTTAAAGTTTCGCTTATGGTTCCGATAGAGGTACCTATTCAGAAACCCTAAACCCTAAGCCCAGGTTGGTCTTGGGAGAAGTTCTACATGGTGCCCGTGAAGAACTATCTTCAGCCGGGCACCTGGGTGGGCTTGCGCCTGGGTGACTTCTTCAAATTTTTCGTGGTGCTAGTTGGGGGGCCCTAAACCCTAAACACTAAAGCCTGGTGTTAGTATTGAAGTTTCGCCGTAGACAGCTGACTCCGCATGCTCGGCACCAAGGTTCAATCCGAATTCCAAGCGTTTCCTCCAAATGCACGGCTCCGGCATCGGGTGCAGCAATCAATTTTGGCTCTTCGCCGTCCTACAGGATGGACATACATACGAGCGGTTCAGGGTGGTTGATGCTGGCAATGGCATGGTTGCACTGCACAACCACATTTTCAATCGCTACTTTGTCATAGTTGGAAACCCTAACCATTAAAAACTAAACCCTATACCCTAAACTCTGAACCCTAAAACCCTAAGTCCCAATGCTATCCCTACCATGGGAGCATGATATGGACTTCATAGGTAAACGCCAAACCCTATACCCGAAACCCTATACCCTAAGTCCTAGGCTACGTGAGCATGATATGGAATGGTCACTCTCATGTGATGACCCGAAGCTCGGTGTCTCCCGACGACGCTCGCGCTTGAGACTAGGGTTTGAGTTTAGGGTTTGGGGTTTGGGGTCTAGGGAGCTTAGGGTTTAGGAGTTATGGTTTGGGTTTTGGAGTTCAGAGTTTCTTTCTCTTCCTTCTTTGACTATATCCATAAAGAAAATAGCATGTGTTCTGTGGGGACGACTCTATGCCCCACTCAGATTCCATGTTGTCACACCGTATGCATCGCGCATGTGTTTGCTGATGCTCTCCGCCGTCCCAGACCAGCGTCGAGCTCCCCAACGGTTGGGAGGACTCGACGGCGTTCGTCCCGGTGCCTATCAACACAAACCTCAACGAGATTGCCTTATGGCATCCTGGTCATAGTCGCCTCCTGTCCGAGTTTGCATCGATGCTTCGAGTTTCCGGGTTTAGGGGCCGGGGTTCTGGTGACGTGGTCCTGCTTTAATCCCTCCAGGACCTGAATAAAGCATGTCGCGGATGAATTGCCACTACTCCGCCAAAGATCGCTTTTGTAGACAAGCTCGGCCATGCCATCTACATCCTGTCCACAGTAGATTCCAGCCTTGAACCCTTTTCAGACAGTCCAGGTGCTGTCTGGATGGGCGGCAACGGGAACGTTGGGGTCAGCGGACATGTCAACGCTCAGGACTCCTCGGGGCCTCCAAGAAACTCCGGAGAACGTACCACGATCCCTCCAAAAATGCTATTCTAATTTCAAGGCTGTCGTAGTACTGCCAGGACTAGCAGCAGCAGGAACATTGCTATAATGGGCGTCATCGTCGTCTTCATAGGGATCTACAATAACTAATGTGATTTCTTTAGTATTTTGGAGACTAAATTAGTCCCTGAGCAAGCGCCCAGTGTAGATTTAATTTGTGGGAGTCGCATCTTCCACAACAGTTGACCGTTGCACCATTTTCAGACAGCCGAAGACCCGTCCGCCGCGTGCCAGGACATGAACAGCGGATGGACCGGTGAGACTTTCCGTGTGGTTCCGATCCCCGATCCGAGGATCAGCTAAAGCCGAAGGCTGGGGCATCGCCAATCGACTAAGCACGACATAAGGTTGGTTCGTTCAAGGCGTTTCAGGATGTGCAGCAGGACTTCGCGGAAGCTCGAGAGCCTGACCTCAAAGCTTAAACGTTGCCAGGTGCAGGTTCGGGTGTCCCAGAATTTCAATGCCGCGAAGCTGGGATACAGAGCATCCTGCAAAGACCAGAGGGCCGGCCAGCAAAAAATCAGGGAATGGGCTTGAGTTCAGGGCGCTACGGCGCTTCGACGAGTGCTGTTCTTTGCTGCCTGTAACAGTGGTAGTGATGTTTATATGACTACGGGCTTCGCAGATGAACTTGTCTGGATGTCTATGACGATCATGATGCTGAAGGCTCAAGGCAGGACGAGTGCCGGCAAATCGTCATGATTTAACCCGTGAACCCTAAATCTTAAAACCCTCCAAACCCGAACCCCTCAACCCGAAACCCTTGACCATGGCATGTAGCAGAGGCCATCAACTCTCAGGTTCCGCAGGCATACTACGGGTCTCAAGCAGAGACGGGCTTTCTCAGGGCAGGCGTGAGGTTCTGGATTCCGAAGTATAAAGTCCAAAGATCCGGAGATCAACGATTCAAAAGAAAGTTCGAAACGTTAGTGCTCGTCTTCATCCTCGTTCTCATCCCTGATAAAGGCGCTCTTGTCGTCTGCATGCAGCACCTGGTCACCGCTCTCTTTAGGGATACTTAGAAATAATTTTTAATTTTTGGGTTATTATAACCCCTAAGAAACAGCTAAAATTATGATTTTTGCTAGGGTTCTAAGTTCAGTATAGTCTCTTCCACAGTGAAATCATGAGATCGGGCAAAGGAAGCATGCCGCCGACTCTTAGAGGAACGGCCAAGCCCTGAGACCCCTGACCGACCCTTAACCGAAGCTCTCTGGAGCCCTAGTTAGATATGCATCAGTGTATATATATATATATATGCATGTATGTATGTGTGTCTATGTATATATATATATATATATATACACATACATACACACATGATACATATATATATATATACATATATATATAGATCTTGACAGTCTGACGTCCTTCATGTCCTCGACTCAAATCCTTGCATCCTTCGGGCAAGAAACCTCTCTGTGAGGAGCTGCTGGCCTCCCCGACCGACGGCTAGCAGCAAGAGCAGTAAGCAAAAAGAGAGGAGTCGGCGGAGCGGGCAGGGGTTTATGGTTCAGGGTTTAGGGCTTTAAGTGGAAGGCTGAAGCAGCGTCGGTTCAAAGTCAGCAGTGCAAGAGTGAAAGATGTAGTGGCCTTGCAAGGTTCTTCCCGGAGGGCGTGTAGTCGTCTGTTTCTGGTACATGAGAGACGGCTCAGCGGAAAGGGCCCAAGCAAGCGGAGCAAAGCTTGGGGTTCGTTGTAGTCGTGCAAGAACGATGCTGAAGCATCATAGCAGACATTCCTAGGCATGCAAGTTTCAAGTGCGGCCCGTTGCCACGATGCGCTTGTGTTGCGCGCAAACACCAGTGCGCCATTACCAGTCACTCCTGCCTTGAACCTGTCCCCTGAGCTTCACTGTCAATCTATTTTGGCGCCGACCAGGAAAACGCCGTTGGGAAACTCGGGCTCAAGACTCAAGGGCGCACAATCGCAGTCAGATCGCGTCCTCGACGTAAGCTGCGATTCGCCATGTAGCCTTGGACTTACCTTTGGTTAGTAGGGAATGGAGGAATGGGGTACAGTTATAACTACGATTATGACCATTCTTCCATGCCCTACTAACCAAAGGTAACTAAACCCTCTTTATAGAAACCTTATAGGTCCCTTATAGGAACCCTTATAGATCCCTTAGTATCGTCGAAAGGCCCCAGTCGGCCCCAAAGACCGGGAATGGGTTCGAGGTGAGAGTGCTACGACGCTCGACGACCGGTGTTTGATCCCACTGTTCTTTGCTGCCAGCTGCCAGTATCAGTGGTACGTACTGGTTCGTTGAATAGTAAGGGGCTGTGTACATGAACTTATTTGGAAGTCTATGACATGATGCTCAAGGCTGCGTGCAGAAGGAGTGGCCGCACGTCATTGCCTTGTCACACCAAGCGACTTGACCACAGCTGTAGCAGAGGACATCGAATCTCAAGCCCTAGCGCAAGTTGAACCTAAACCCTAAACCCTAAACCCTAAACCCTAAACCGTGGACACACTTCTGCGGCCTGAGCTTCCATGGCTAGGAGAGGTTCCGGTAAAACCTGGGTTCAGGGTTTAGGGCCTAGGGCCTTTCCACCGCTCCCGACGACGCTGCACAGCACGGGCAGTGAGAAGTGCCTAGCTTGTTGTTGACCACTTGCATTGTCTAAGACGTTGAGGTGGATGCCTTGGGTGGTGCGAAGATGTACTGCAGGGTTTCACTCCGAGTGACCTTCTTTTAGTCCCTAAGCCCTAAGCCCTATATTCTTTTTTGTGTGGCCGCAGCCAATTGAAATGAAGCAGGCGTAGGCCCTCTTTTCTAGTAGCTTCGCAGGGATGAAGATGGTAGCTTCCCTCCAGATCTTTGCCGTGATTTGGGCCAGCTTCTGGGTTCTTGTTAAGGAATTATAAATGGGATTGATAGTATGTGATATGGTTTCCTTCTTTTGGCATCTTAGATGACATCCCTTAACAAGAATCCAGGTTTGGCGGGCATCCCGAGCTCATTCAAGCTCTCTGAGGAGGCCAATGAAACGGAGCTTTCCCAAGTGTCGTCGGGGGGCGGGCTTTACTCTTTTGGCTCCACGGTGGCCATCTACAACCCGCGTTACAGCCGCCTTGTGCAAATGCACCTCCTACGCAATGATCTTGAGGGGAATCCAGCTTTTCAGTATTGTACTTACTAGCCCGCGATTGCCCTATCTGATCAGTAGTCAGACTGTTTTTGGAACGCGATCCTCCGAGGAACAAGGGTAGCAACTCGATGACTTCGAAGACCTCTAGCCGCATACATCTGGAGATGTTTGAGACGTACGAGCGCTTCATCATCGTGGATGCGGGAGGTGGGAAGATTGGTCTGCACAACTCCCTCAACAATCGCTTCATGAAGATGAGCGGCGGAAGCATGATGACCAGCCCTATCAAGGCCAAGGGTTTTGGGGACTATACTTCCTCAAATTGGCCTTTTCAAGTCCTCATTATATGTATTATAAGGCCCCCTACCCCCCCTCCCCCTAACCCCCCTAAGGGTCCTTATGAGTTTTGGGGCATTTTGGAGGTTTGCTTTACTTGTGTAGCTCCATCGAAGCCTTCCTACTACACCCCAAGCCTTGCAGGACCCGCCCTGGGTCCCTTGCACAGGCCGGAAGCAATCTCCCGGTGCCCGGTTGGGACAGCGAGTATTTCGAGATCATCGACGGAGGAGATGTGGCGTGCATGCGTGCTGTGTGTGTGTGTGTGTGTGTGTGTGTCTGTGTTTGTGTGTGTGGGAAGCCAAGTCGAAGTAATGACTAGTCAGAAGGTCACCATTGTGGATTTACCAATACCACTGGCCCTAAACCCTAAACCCTAACCCGTCCAGTCCTCACATACTGGAGGGTTTCCTGTTTTTCAGGAAATGGCGAGGTCGGTCTTTACAACAGGCACCACCGACGATTCGTCTCGATGAGCGGTGGCTGGGTTCTTGTCAAGGAATATAACTTAAAATTACCATAATATGGAGCTAAAGGGCTCCTTTAAGTGATCTATAAGGGTTCGTTCAAGGGTTTGGGGTTTAAGGTTTGATTTACCATACAGTAGTAGGGATCTATAGTACATAGTATGGTTTTCTTATTATGGTAACTTAAAATCAATCCCTTTAACAAGAACCCAGGTGGGGGAGTCATATATGGCAGCCCACAGAGGGGCGACACCCTGCCACACGATTGGTACGATCAGAGATTCTTTCTCGTGCCGAGATCCGTGTTATTGCAAGACGTTCTGGCTTGTCTCTAAACCCAATATAGGGTCCTGAATAATTAGCCACACTATGTGTGTTGTTGTGTTTTTTCTTTTGTCTTTTTGACTTTCTGTTTGTTCTTTATCGTATAATACACCCCAAAATCCTGTGCAAATTATGAAGGCCCCTAGATCAGACGCACCGTGCGAGTTGGGAACTTTATGACCTCAGGTGCCAGCAAGGCCCTATCTCGAGCCAGGTTCCGTCGTGGCCCTGCACCGGATCTTCAGCTTGGGACTGCTTTTGCTTTCGATGGTTGAAGTTTAGGCTTCGGGGTTTGCTGCAGGGTCTGTGGTTGACGGGTACTACCATGCCCTCCATGAATCCGCAGAGCCTGCGTTGAACTCCTCTGCGCCCCTGAGCAAGGTACAGCGGGTCAAATCAGAACTACCTGCGCTTGAAAGAGCACGGCATGGATGGCCACAGGCCGCCCCACCCCCCGCATTTTCCTTCAAACTGGGGCTGGGAGAAATTCAAAGTCGTCGATGCCGGAAAGGGTATGGTGGGATTGTACAGCAATGTCTGGAGGAAGTTCGTCAAAATGGATGCTTCTCCAGCTCTGGAAAGTTTTCTTTTGCATTCTGGGACAAGAGCCCGCCTAAACTCCAAACGATATTTAGGGGCCTAAATAATTACCAATACTATTTTGGGGCTTCCTTATTATAAGTATTAAGTATAGTATAGTATACCTCAAGACCCTATTCTAATGATTAAAGCCCCTATATTAAGCAAGTGCCTTGAAGAATGAAGCTCAGCGAGGCCCAACCAGTGTACCCTAAACTCTGGGGCCCGAGACCCTCAACTCTAAAGCTCTAAAATCGCCGAGCTTGCCTTAAGGCCCGTTTCGAGCAACCCTAAACCCTAAAACCCCAACCCTTATAGATCCCTTTAAGGGAACCTTAAAACCCTAAACCGCCTCTGAGGACCATCACAGCGTCACTGTTAGCCCCTGGACGGATCCTCGGCTGTTTTTGGTTTAAATTTAAATAAGTAATACATATACATATACATATATATATATATATATAATGAATGCATATATTGATGATATTGTTGCTAATAATTATGTAAATTAGTTGCTAAAAGTTTCGTGCCGCTCTTTTGTTTCGCCTAGGATAGGGCTGAGGGGTTTAGGGTTTTGGGTTTTAAGGTTCCTTTCAAGGGATCTACAAGGGGGTCTATGAAGGGGGTTTAGGGTTTGGGGTTTTGGGGGTTGGGGTTTAGGGTTTGGGATTTGGTTTTTAGGCTTCTGCAAGTCGAGTTTCGGGGAGGGGGTTTGGGTTTTAAGGGCCCAGGTGCTTCAAGCGTTTAGGGTTTGGCTTGGGGCTTCCGTCGACGTGCCGCGAAATCCACATTGAGCTTTTTTCTATTACAACTTGTTCTGGGGGGGGAATTTGTGAACGACCTCCGAGTTTAAAAAGTTACACCCTGAAGACCTTACACCATCAGAAGTTCACTTGTCTAAGCCCTTAGGCCGGGGTGCCTTGATGCTCTGGGCTTTGGAGGACCATACTTTGACTTTTGTGGGACCTGCTACTTAAATGGAGCCGTCATGAAATTTCAACACCCAGCCCTTGGTGTTTGGTTAGGTCATAGGGATCCTTAGGGGTGTAGGGGGGAGGGGTGTAGGGGACTATATTTCCTTAAATAGGCCTTATTAGTCCTTATTATGGGCCTTAAGGCCCCCTACCCCCCCTCCCCCTACACCCCTAAGGATCCCTATGATTAGGATTTGTCTGGTCACCCAGGCTGGCGATCACTTCCCCCATGGTTGGGGCTCCGAGGCTTTCTATGTTATCCCTATTCTGCCGAACGACAACAAGGTGATGCTCTGGCATCCGGGTCTCGAGCGTTTCTCGCCGGAAGCCCTTAAGGGGTTTAGGGTTTAGGGTTTAGGGTAGGGAGGCTATTTGACCGAGCTTTCCGATACTTTGGACTGGAAGTAGCCGCAGTGCCACATGTTCGTCTCTAACGCTCTGAACCATGAGGGAGTTTCCGAAAATAGGGGACTCAAATATAGTTTCCTAAACAGTAGGATCTTTATTATAAGGAACCCAAAATAAGGCACCCCCCATTTTCAGAACCTCCTAAACCCCTAAACCCTTTGTAGAACCCCTATAGATCCCCTTAACTGCCCCAAAATAGGGTACCCCTAATTTTCGGAAACGCCCATGAGCCCTAAACCCTAAACCCCTAAACCCTAAACCCCTAAACCCTAAACCCTAAACTCTGAACCCTAAATCACTACACCCAGAAAAAAACACTACACTCTCAACCCTCTGAGGTTGCGTGAAGATGGCGGGCACCAGCGTCCAGCGCAGCCCGCATAGGCAGGCCCAGGACCAGCCTTTTTCTTTGCTTTTGGTCTGCCTGAAGGCTGGTATAAAGGTAGTATATCATAAGATGCTATAATCTAGTAGATAGTATATCATAAGATACTATAAAGAAAGTTATGATGTAGTATTTTATAGTGTGGCAGAGTGTAGTCTATTCTGTTCTACACCATTCAGTCACCCCCCTTGTTGCCCTGACCGAACGCACAGTTGCTACTGTAGTGCTGAACTATCGGTTTAGGGGTTTAGGCAGGTCTCATCTTTGCTGTTGCCAGCATATTTGTAGCAGCAGCAGCCACCAGCAGCCGCCAGCAGCCGCCAGCACCGGCACCGGCACCGGCACTGGCACCGGCACCACCAGAGCCTACGCTGCCGGCGCCGCCGCCGTCATGGTCATCGCTGTGGTCATCGTCATCGTCATCCTCATCCTCATCCTCTTCTCCATCATCATCAACAACAATAGCATCATCATCATCATTATTATCATCATCATTATCATCGTCAGCATCATCATCACCAGCACCATCGTCATCACCTTCATCATGATGACGATGATGATCACCATCACCACCACCACCACCACCACCACCACCACCACCACCACCACCACTATCATCATCATCATCATCATCATCATCATCATCCCTGTCATCATTGTCATCAACGCCACCGCCATCACCCCTAAGACCACCATCATCATCGTGGTCATAGTCGTCATCATCACTTTCACCTTTTTCATCCCTATAGGCCCTATTCCTGTTCATCATCTTCATCTTCTTCACCATCCGTCGCCAGCAGCAGCAGCAGCAGCAGCAGCAGCTTTCTTCTTCCACCGCAGCTAAGATTCGAGTCCAAGCTAGCGCGCGCCAGCAAGAGCTGAGCTCTCGGTCACTCAGTGGTGACTCGGCACGGGTGCCCTTAGGGGCAGGGGAACAAAGCGCCGAGGCGCCATAACAAGCTCACGCAAGTTGGCTATTGCAACTTGCTCCAAAAACTGCTACTTCCGACGAGTCTGCTGGTTATTCATCCAGGGTGTGAAGAAATCCCTTTTGGTTGCTGGGACAAAGCGTATGCTCCGTCCAGGGTGCTCGCTGCACCGCTTGCAGTGCTGGATGCTGCTCCAGCATTGACATTCTGGATTTCATCAGTTCGATCTGAGCTTCCAGGGTCATCAATTGCAGTTGTATGGCAAATAGACGATGCTCGAGCCACCAGTTCATGTTCCGGCTGATGGGTAGCGAGTGCATCATCGAGACTACGTCGGAGCGCTACTGAGCTTGAGCTGGGAGCTACGGTGGCAGTTTCGGCAGCTGGTTTCCTAAGCAAGAGCAGACGATACACGCAGGAGGAGGCATCGGTCAGCTGTGCTTCTGATGCTTTTACCGCCCTGCGGGCGTCATCCTGAAGCCAGTAAGCTCCCCCCTCACGAACCAGAGTTCGGTAGTGACCTGTGGCCAGGTGCTCGCCATGATGTGTGATGAGGGCTCGGATTACATAAGGAGTCCACCTGACGTTCAAGGTCGCGTGCCCCTCAAAACATGGAAGGAGCAACTCTTCCGGGAGGATGTAGGCCTCATGTCGCTTACATGGGCGACCTGCTTGCATGTGTGCTCTCGGGAGTTGAAGAAACAACCACGGTGGTGGAGTGAGCACGGCATGTTTTGCTGATTGGTACATGTGCCATTCCTGCAACAGGTCCTGGATGCAAGGCCCTTTGGGCGCAACACAACTGAGTGACAGGCAAGAGCCAAAGGTGCCTGTTTCCACCCGTCGAAGTTCACCTTCTAAGAGCTGTCGGGACTCCCACCCATGGTGTGAGGCATCAGGTAGCATCCTAGGAATTAAAAAGTCGGCAAGCTCTACGACATCGTGTTGTAAGTGAGGCCTTAGCCACCCCATCAAGAAGAATCCAAGCTCTGCCATAGCATTTATCGGCGCTGTCGGAATGGTCCGGAAGACGTGTGGGAGGATGTGCCTCTGCAGGTGGTTTTCCAGCGCCGCTAGGCAGTAGACGAAGGAGTTAAGGTAGCAAAAGTTTTGAGGATTGTACAGAGTGAATCTGTGATGGGATACAGGGTGTGATGGCGGGCTGCGGCTACGAGTATGATGTGGGTGATCGCGGGGAGTATCATGGGAATTATTGGGGCGAGGTTTTCGGACGGCAGAGAAGAAGTTATGTAGGGTGTTAGGGCGGGGAGGATTATGGGGGCCATCCCCAGCCTGCCTGGGTACACAAGTTGTGCCAGCTGCTGAGCCTGTGGTTGGCGTGGCCTGTCGTCTCGTTTCATCGATAGTCCGATCAAGTTGGTGACCGCATTCCCCGCCAGGATGCCGAAGTTCTGATGGACTTCGTCCGATGTGGCACCACGTAGTGCTATCTCCAGGTCGAAGACAGCCTGCGAGCTGCCTTCCTCTTCTATCGCCCACATCGGCTGCTTGGATTTGAAGCGATGTATTATTTCTCCCGTCATGCTGGCTTGAAGTTCGGTTATTGTCTTCACCATCGTGTCGTGCGTGATCGGGGACCTGGCCTCGTTGAGCACTAGGCGGCGTTGCTGCGGGCTCCACTTGAGGTATGTCCAATGGCCCTGGGAGTCTAGCCACCCCACCTTCTGCAAGTCTGCACGCCCGGCCTCTGTGGCCACTACCCTTTGGGTGCGTTGAAGCAATTCCTTGAGTAAGCAGTTGATCAACACAGTGCGGAGTGGAGATTGCAGGCCTGGGTCCGGAGTGGCCGATGTCGCCTTCTCTCTCCACTGCCTGGCTACCTCCATCAGATTTGGCACCAAGCTTTTCTCGTCTTGGCGAAAGAACAACACGTAGGCTGTGTCTTTGCGGAGATTGTGAAGGGCTTCTTCGTGCTTGAGGATGAGCTTGGAGATAATGTCGATCTGATGTTCGGCTGTCGGGTAGGGTGGAGGCATTTGAGGGGGCATCTGAGGTGCCTGTGGCTGGTGCCGAGGCGGATGCCACGGTGTAGGCTGCATCCTGGGCTGCCGTCCCCATCCCGGGCCTCGCTGGCGCTTCCCCCCTTGGGGAGCTCTCTGGAAAGCCTGTGCTGCCTGACTCAAGGGGTCCGTCTGGGACTCCTGTCCTAGAGCTGCCTTGGCCGCCCCCGTTGGCATGCAGTGCTCGAAGATGCTCGCTTCCAAGTCCGCCGCAGTCATCCTGATCCAGCATTGGAAGGTGCATGCCCCGCTTGCAGAATTCGTAAGCTATGGCCAGCTGATTCAGAACTACGCATTGTGTGGAATGACGACCTGGGGCTCCCACCTTGCTTTGGCACCACCGGCACGATTTACCCCTCGTGAGGTGGCTCTTAAAGCTTTTGCTAAGTTCAAGTGCAGCAGGCAGAATTTCAGGGTGAGCATTATGGTGTGCACGATTGTAGTGTTGTCGGATATGCTTGGGATCTGCGATCCACATGTTGCACAATGCACAATGCGAGCTGAGCAGAGCTTTGGTGTCGGAGCAGGAAAGGCGTTTTTCCCACTTGCGCAGGTTGCAATAGAAATCGGCTCGCAGAACAATGGGCAGTTCGTCCGGAAGTGCAGACACACCTTTTCCAGGCGCGGCTGATTGTGATGTAGCTGCCTGGTCCGGTGGCTGGGAAATGCCCGGAAGATGCCTGAGGGCTGCATTATCGGGTGGGACGGGGCTTAGTTTATGGCTTAAACCCCCTAGTTCAGGACACGACTTCCTGGTGATGTGGATCTTGAGTTGCTGCCACTTTGTAAAGTTGCGAAGGCATAGTCTACATGTAGGCATGCCGGCAATTGAGTGTCGCACTGGGTCAAAGCGGCACTCCTCAGCCGCAGGCTTCTCAATGTCCTGGTGGTGAAGAGACATGTGGATTGAGAGGGCGTGCGAGTTAAGAACCCGAGCATGACAGTGGGGGCATTCTACAGCTTCTGCGGATTCCTCTGCAACAGCCTGGGAAGTTGCTCCATCGGAGATGGACTTCATGGACTCCTGCAGGTCGCGAAGGCTGGTGTGCACGTCAGCATTGACAACAATGTTGGCTCCTGTGGTGCTGTGAGTGGGGTCGCGGCTGAGTATGAAATTCGCAAGTTTGTCAAGAATAGCTTGGCTTGGTTGTTTCAGCTGGGCAGTGATCCAGATGTCGGCGTTGCTGATGTGGGTAAGGTGCGCTGGTTGTTTCAAGATGGCTCTGATATGTCTCGTGGCAAGCACATTCAGGCGCTTGACTCCTGATTGCGTCCAACCTACAGCTTCTATACCATAGCACAGGCAAGGGCTGATGCATGCATTCCAGAGTCGGAGCTTGTGCTTTGCTGACAGGGGACCTTTGCCATTCAGGATCCGCCTTATGAGCTGGTACCGTGCTTGTGCAGATTCAATGCGGTGAGTGATGTTGAGGTCAAGGCGATGGCGATAGGCAATGACCGTGCCTAAGTAGATGTGGGAGTCTCGTATGCAGAGGTGTTGTTCAACTCCGAGGACCCTGAGTTTGAGGAAGGTTTGCCCCTCCTTGGTGACGGTATGTTGTGCAAGGATTTCTTCAGCATCTTTGCCGTGTAGGGTGAGCAGGAGGGCAGTTTTCTGATAGTTCACCTTTAGCTGAAAGATAGTAAGAATCTCTAGTAGAAGTGTAAGGTCACTGAGTGTTGTTACAAAGTCTCGGCGATTCCTGATTACCCAGGTTCCACACCAATCATCTGCAAACAATGTGATGATTCGGTGCAGCCAACTTAGGTCCCTCTGCCTGGCGAGCCTGGAGGACTGAGATGCTGTAGCAGAGCCAGAGCGCCGGCGCCACACGGCAGCCTTGCTTGATGCCGTTTGTGGTGAGTGTGCTTCCTTGACGGGACCTGACATCATAGTGGTACCGTGCCTGCTTGTGGAGCTGCTGGATCGCAGCAACGACATTGGGAGGGATCCCCTGTTCAAGGAGGGCATCGGTCAGGTGATTCCGATCTACGAAGTCGAAGGCTTTCGATAAATCCAAGCTGAGGCAGGCGCCGCCTGCACAGCGCGACGGGACGTGACCCTGCCGCATGGTGAATCTATTGCTCTGATTTTTCTGGATGATCTGCTCAACCTCTTCGAAGTGTCGATGCACACGGTGGATTGCATCTGCACAGCCGCGGCCTGGGCTATATGCATATTGTGGAAGATGATCTATGAGAGGAGCAATGTGATGCTGTATGCGGACCGCCAAGAGACCAGCTACTAGTTTAGGGAAGGGTGGCATTAATCCGATGGGACGGAGGGAGGCAACAGAAGTCGCAGGTTTACTAGGCTTGGGCAACCAGACTACGTTGGTGTCCTTCATGTCTCCCTCTAGAGTGGCTGTGGAGCCCGCCTTGAAGTGGATGTTGAGAGCCGTGCTCAGTGGCTGATGCAACGCCTGTGCACAGAGCTTCCAGACTGCACTGGGGGCGCAGTGGCTCGGGACGGCCGTGCGGTGCTTAAGACGGGTGAGCTCGTGCCATATCTCTTCCGGGTCGAAGGTGAGGTCCTCGAGGAGAGGAAGCTGGTGTCTGCTGTCCGGAAGAGCAGCAAAGGTTTCCTGACCATACTTCAGCACGGCAGCTAATTCAGCCTGCTCTGTCATGATGTTGCCATTCTCATCTTTGAGGCGGGAGGCAACACGGGCCTTGCGGGGCCCGAGTCGACGAGTGATCTGAAAAAGTTCTCTTAAGTTACCAGACGAAGCCGCCTCTTCAGCCTGTCGAAGCTGATCTTGGTGGAAAGCGACCTTGAGCTGTCGACTCTGTTGTTTTAGCTCTTTGGAGGCCCGGTGAAAACTTGCTACTGCACGCCACCTCTGCAAGATGTTGGCCAGTGTGACAACACCTGGCCGCTTGACAGCCCGGTAAAGAGCCCACGTTCTGGCAGCACTGGCTCTGTATCCGGGATCGGCACTGACCCGGTGGTCTGCTCTGTCCTGCGGTGGGAAGAACCTGCTGGTCTCCTGCAGCAGGATGTTGTTGATGTCTTGATGCAGGGAGTTAATTGAGGCTGGCGCTGGCAGCGCCTCGACACGGGCGGAGACCGCCTGTTGCAGCAGGCCGGCCTGCTGTGCACCATTCTCAATGGCTTGATGCAAGGCGGCTCTGTCAAAGGCCGGTTGTGCCTTTCGGTCCTTCGGCAGGTGCCGTAGGGGCCGAAGTTGCAGCGTGGCCTGCGCCGGAATGTGGTTTGACAACCGGTCCCCGGTAACAGGGAATGCTTGCAGGGGGGCGGATAACTTGGCTGTGGCTCCAGCATCGGTGCATTTCACAATGAGGTAGTCCAGTTGACTTTTGGTGGAGGTGCTGAAGAATGTGTGCTTTGGCCGGGCATGCCAGGTGTTGAGTGCACACAGCTCATAGTCTAGAAGTATTTGTTGCAAGGTGTCATCATAGTTATCATGGGTGTCGGGATGGGGAACCGAGGGGCCTACACCCGGAGAGGCTTGTCTAAGGGTCGAGTTGAAATCCCCCGCTAAGATGACCTTATTTCTGGCAGGAATAGAATCAAGGGTTTGCTGCAGTGCGTGCCAGACTCCCTGCCGGAGTCGTCGATTTTGGCTGGCACTCAAGGTGGTGCGATGCACATGCTGATAAAGGCCTAAGATATCAACATTGTGCTGGCTCTGGTTGTGATACGCCCGAACTTGCAGAAGTCTGCCGGGAACATGCTCCTGTGCAGCAATGTTACGGAAGGCCTTGCGAGACACCATGATCAAGATGCCCGCCGACTTGCCCATGCCATCCTTTGCAGAGTGGCCCGAACTATGGACGCAACTCCAATCACCACTAATGAAGTCTTCAGTCATGCCCCAATGGGTTTCTTGGAGCACTACGACATCCCACACTCCGTGTGTGGAAAGCCATGCCATTAGTTCTTGGAATATTGGTGAGGCCAAGCCTCCTACATTCCAGCTCAACACTGACAGCTTCGGAGCAGGCCTGGTAGAAGCATTCCTGCAATGGCCATTGACCTTCGGAGCGGACTGGGAAGCTTGGGGTTTGTGCTGTAACTGCACGAGTGCCTGTTTGGTGTGCCATTTGCCCCTGTACATGGTTCCTTCCTGCGGAGAGGACAAGGCTCGGCGACAGGCTCTCTTATAGGCTCGTTTTGCTTGCATAGTGAGGCTATGTTGCCCAATTATAGGTGTTCCCCCGCCTGGTTGCGCGGTGTCGCTGCGCTTCCCCAGCATAGGAGCAGGTCCCATGCCAGGTCTCTCCTCTGTCACGACTCCAGAGGAAACCCTCGCTCCAACCGTAGCATGTAAAAGCACTATTTTATAGAGGCTAGGGATGGGTCTACGGTCTCCGGACTTGGGACCGGAGCGGCTGCTAGGTCTATTGGTGGGGTATTGCTTATGACAGGTGAATTTAGGGTCTTCCCGTGGGTTGGGTTTAGGGGGGACACTGTCGGAATGGGATCGTTGTCCTGTAGAGCGCCCTGGCAGTGGGCTGCTGCAGGCTTGCACATGCCGATATCTGGCTGCATGCCTTCGCAAGGTTGCTCTGCTGGCACGGGAGGCAGGCAGTACTTCAGGCTGATGTGGATGCAAGGTTTTCAGTTGCTGGAAGAAGCGGTTGCACAGTCCTCTGGGGCGGCCCCAGATTTTAGAAACTCCCCGCCTCCATTCAGTCTGCTGTCTCCTCCGTGTCCCGGCCGTGATACTCGTGGGTGATCTGGAACTCGTAGGTGGTCCATTCTCGCATAAATTGCCCCACCAATCGCTGAGAGGCGAGCCCCTGTGTGTGGCTCCAGTTCTCGGTCCGGAGCCTTCGTCGCAGTGCCCCGATACGGCCTGCCAAGGATCGGGTAGTGATGTGTGGCTCCATTTCCAAGAGCTGCCTGCGGTACAAAGTGCAGAAGTGCTGCTGCGCTTCTGCCAGTGTTTCACCCTCAAGGTAAAGCGACGTGTCGCTCCACCAGCCGTCGGCTGCCTCCTCGTCATCGTTGTGTGGAGCTCGGTCCCTGTCATTGTCTCGGTCCTCGGCCAGCCCACTTGCTCCAGCAGGAGCGGTGTGCTCACTGTCGCTCTCGTTCTCGTCTGTGGAGGAAGAAGAAGAGGAAGGCAGTGTGGGTGGCGAGCTTTCTGTAGGTCGCCTGTCATCGTCCTGCTGTGCCTCGTCGCACTGTCTGGAGGTGTCCTCTGCAAGGGCTCGGGTTCTGTGAGCATCCATGGTAGCGGTATCGTCATTGTTGTCTGGCTGTACGTAGTCTGGCATGGGGCCAGTGACTGGTATAGGCCTTGGTGGGCCCTTTGGTCGATACTCCTGCCCAGAAGGGACAGGATCGCTGCGCAGGTGATCACGAGGCGTCCGCTCCCTGACAGCTTCATCGGTGTCTTCAGAGCTATGCCAGCTCCCATCGCTCATGAGATTGTTTCGCCGAAGTAAGACCGAAGAAAAGCACAACCGCAAAGAGGACCCCACAGAAGAACGGAGGACAAACCCCGGGCGCTCGACCTTAAGCCGTGGAGCTTCAGCAGCAGCAGCAGCACCATCATCATCATCATCATCATCATCGTCATCGTCACCATTCACAGTCATCGTCGTCGTCGCGCTCCTCCTCCCCTTCTTCTTCATCATCTTCACGGTCATCGTTAGAGTCATCGTCGTCGTCGTCCTCCTCCTCCTCCTCCTCCCCCTCCTCCTCCTCTTCAACATCATCATCATCATCATCGCCATCTCCGAGGACATCGCTATCTTGATCCTCATGCTTATCCTTATCCTCATCCTCCTGGCTCCTCCTCCGCCTCCTCTACCTCCTCTACCTCCTCCTGCCCCTCCTCCTCCTCCTCCTCCTCCTCCTCCTCCTCCTCCTCGTCCTCCTCCTCCTTGTCTTCGTCCTACTCTCCCTTCTCGTCATCTTCTTCTTCACCATCATCATTACCAACAGCATGATTAAAGTTGCACTCCTCATCGTTGACCGTCATCATCATTGCGACGAGTACCTTTGATGTTAGTACCGAGGCTCGTTTATGCACTTGTTGATCTGCTTGTCTCCGTGTGGCTGTTTGCTGGCCAGCATACATATGGGAGTTTCCGAAAATAGGGGACCCTAATATAGTACCCTAAATACTAGGATCCTTATTATAAGGGTTTTCGAGCCGTCGAGCTCCGGAGTTTGGGTTGAGTGCTTGCGGGACTTTTGAGTTTGTAGGCCCGTAGTCTGCGCTCCACAGCCCGCAGGATCTCGGGACAGACTGGGGGAGTGAGATCTTCACCGTGGTGGTTCTCGAAGACCCGCCAGACGAAGACTAGACGACTTGGAAGGGCTGAAGGCTAAAAATTCACCTTCAATGGCAGAGTTCAAGACTGCAGTGGACGAGGATCCCCGTGCCGCCGCGAATCTGTTTCGCAAAAAGGGGCGATTTAGCTTGTGATTTTGACGGTCATGCATATACTTGCAGCATGTGGTGCCCCTACATGACAGCTTAGTGCACTAATCTGATACGGAAAGTGACGGCAGTTCCCGCGGCGTGGGCACACCCCAAAACCCCCAACCCTCCCTAAACCAAGAGAGCCGGATGTCTGGTCGCTCGTCGTCCCCATTCTGGTGTTGTCATGATGATGGTAACTTAACCGTGTGACGATGCCCACGATGGTGATGATGCTGAACATTCAAAGCAACACTCGAGACCAAAACGACTGCAAGCATGCAGCGCAATCTAAAGTTTTGGTATGCAAAGACGCAGGCCGCGCAGCCTCCTCTTCTACAGTGACAAGTAAGGGCAGTCGTATACGCAGCAGCGAGAACGTTTGGACAGCAGCCATTCGGCTCTATAGAAGAAGTCAGACATCGCACTCATGTTAAGACGCATGGATGCCCAGTGTCGGCAGACGGGGGCTCAACTAAATCCCTGATAGATCGGCCTTCGGAAGCAATAAGAGACGTACCTGGTTGGCTCCACGTGGGCCAATGCTACTCACTTGTGCCCTGAAGCTGTCAAGAGCTGTCCCTTGAGCTTTACTGACAGTCCATGCGGCATTGAAGTAAATGCTACGGAACATTCGGGCTCAAGAGTGACTTGTATGAGGTGTGCAGACGAAGACGTGTCATTCTTCGACTCATGGAAGCCAGCATGCACCTCTGAAGAGTACTTCTCTTCTCCCACAGATTACTGCTGTTTTTGGTCCTAGTGTGTGCACTCGTACCATTAGAAGCTGCGACTCGCCATGTAGCCTGAGATGACGGAGTGTTGAGCTTGCAACTGGGCCGCGGTTAGGAGTGTAGCCTTTCCCTTGGCTACAGGCGTGGTTGGAGCCGGGGCTTGCATCTGAAAATCAATGGAGCATCATGAACCATGAACATCTACATCCATGCATTGAGATCCCCTGAACCCTAAACCCCTAAACCCTAAACCTCTAAACCCTAAACCTCTAAACCCTAAGCCTCTAAACCCTAAACCCTAAACCCCTGGGTTTTTGAGTTTCCAAGGAGGCTTCGCGGCCACGGCTGGTGGGAGACGAGGAGGACTCTGCCGTTCCGGCAGCCGGGAGTCGGCCTTTACATCCTCATACTAATACTTACTTGGAGGGTCGGGGGACTTAGTAACTGGTTATTTTCGGGACTTATAAGTACCCCAAAAGGGACCCTAATTGGGGTTATGGTACTTATAAGCTACACCCTCATACTAATACTTAATATGGGAGTTTCCGGAAAAATAGGGGGTTACCTTTAAAGGGATCCTTCCAGGGTTCCTTAAAGGCATCTATAGGGGTTCTATCAAGGGTTTAGGGTTTAGGAGTTTCCGTATACGGATACTTAACACGGGAGTTTCCGAAAATAGGGGGTGCCTCTAAAGGATCCTCCAAAGGGTTACTATAAGGGTACTAAAAGGGTTCCTCATTATACTAATACTTAATATAGGGGCTCCCCTTTTGGTATTGGGTAACTTTAAAAGGAACCTAGGACTACAAAAAGGGAATAAGGGTACTACTGGGCATCCTTTTGGGGCCCTTAAAGGGAATTAATTATAGGGGTTCTACAAAGGGTTTAGGGTTTAGGAGGTTCCCAAAATGGGGGTAGCTTATTTTGGGGTCCTTATAATAAGGATCCTACTATTTCGGATACTATATTTGCGTCCACTATTTTCGGAAACTCCCATATAGAGAGGCTTAAATACTGACCTATACTTTTTTGGGGGTTCCTTATTATGATTCTCGTATCATATACCCCAAAGCCCTATTCTAATCATAAGGGCCTTTATAGCACACCCTCATACTAATATTTACACTCATACTCATGCTGATAGTCATACTAATACTGATACTGTGCTAGTACTAATACTAATACCCCGTATTGTCAATAAAGCACTTTCAGGAAGACGTACATGCTCTGCGGTTTCACAGCAAGTTGCACTAGAAAGCCAACGTTGAGGAGGTCAGTGTGTCCCAACCCCGAAACCTGAGATTCCAGACCCTGAGAAGAAGACTTCATGCACGGGCCGCAGGAACGGAGACCGTGCTGGGAGTGCTTCAGGACGTTCAGGATGGGAAGCTGGGCTGTGGGATGCAGGGTTTAGACATGAAGAGCTCCGCAAATTTACGGTTGAGAACTTGGGTGCATCAGGATTTCGAGGGACTACAACTGTGATTTGCTTTCTTGGATGAGGCAGTGAGTCTTACAAAGTTGCGTCAAGATGCACACACTGCGAGAAACGGAGCAACAATGGAATGTAGGATTTGGGTAGGCGAGAGGCTTGAGAAGCAAGTGAAGCTACGGTCCGGTAAAGCACCATGCTGGGAAACAGAGCGGGACTGCCACCCTAACACCCTAAACCCTAAACCCTAAAACCCTAAACCCTAAACC